TAATGCAAAAATTAGAATCTGAAAACGAGTGCTTCATCAGGTATCAGCGCTTACTTGGCATCTCGTCATCTGACCACGCAGCACTAAATGAGTTTCTCATCACCTGAAGGAAAAGTGATATTATCTTACAGTTCATAATTGATATCTTTATTAACGATCGATAGCTGTGTTAATGATTGATATCTATGAAAATGACCGTAATCTATGTTATTGATCGATATCTAGTCTTGTTTAAAATTTTACTCAGTTATTCGTCAACCGGCCTCTGTTTTCTTCTGACATGTCGCACTGAATGTTACAGCATCGTGCAACCTTACAGCATCGTGCAACCTTACTGCATCATGTAACCTTACAGCATCATGTAACCTTACGGCATCATGTAACCTTACAGCATCATGTAACCTTACAGCATCATGTAATCTCACAGCATCATGTAACCTTACAGCATCATGTAACCTTACAGCATCATGTAACCTCTCAATAAACAGTAATATAAACTCACAATAATAGCTTTTAACGAAAAACGATCATATTATAAAGCCCTATAAAATAGTTTAAATTACTTTTTTTGGGTCGCTATATGCTTGCGACAAATCAGAGCTTAAATGGAAGAAGCTGCATCAATTACGGTAACTTTAGAAGCTTTTTAGCTGAGACGACCTTGTTAAATCTTTATCCCAACGACTTGAAGCTGAGAGACGACATCCGCCCCTGGAGTATCTAACACCCCAGCGCGACCCCGATGTATTTCTCACTAAGAGGCTTTACGCTTAATTTGGTCAATTGATTCACTGACGACTCCGGCTGATCTGTCCAAAGACTTTTGGTGACGCCAGAGTTCCTTTGAAGCGATGCCTGGAAAGCTTGCCTGCGGAGAAAGAAGTAGTCCAGGGAATTTGTAAAACTAGGGAAGCGTGAGTTTTGTTTTGAATAAAATCTCTTCCCGTGTCTCATCTCATGGATTCAAATAAAATTTGGGGAAAAAATCGTTCTGCTGTGTGAATAATTTACAATAAAAAATGCTATATGTATTCGCCATGTAGGTATTATATAGAATCATTCTAATCAGATTTATTTAGAAATTTCTCGCAGCGAATAGAAAAAATTGTAGTTGACAAATGATTGAGAGTCAAAATTAGTAAATGCAGTATATGAAGTCTGGTCGACAGAGAAATTTATCAAACAATAAAATTATGACCATTTATTTTCCAGAGAAGGGATGCAATAGCTTAGCCAATATTGCAAAACTTTGCAATATAAATGCTTCAGTATCTAACTAGTCAAACTATCAAACTGAGCTACTTGAGTTAAGAATAAAGATCCAAGAAAAATGTATAATTTTGTTGAATGAGGATATCAACTGCCTTGTGTATAGCTACGGGTTCAACACACATGTATGAACAGGTTGGCGTTCACCTCACATTCGAGGCAACGATAATGATCCTTTAAATGAAGGGCGTTGCGAGTTCGCGCACGTAGCGGGAATGCCATTCAGCGGAACAAGAGTCTTCTTTTGTGCACCGTACCGCCCTCCGTTCGACAATCCTCGCCTGTGTTCTCGCTCGCTTCCGTTGGCTCGACCTAAAGGCGATTTCATCGACTTTGCAAAGAATTTGGTGCAGGCATTAAAACTTTCTGCTATTCACACTACTTTTCATCTCTAATTAGGCGCTTTTTGATGTGACCAGGCGTTCGAAAAAGCCGCGATTTTTCCGCAATCGTCTCAGCGAGTTTCTGAGCTGCGTTTTACAGCTCCGGCTGAGGGTTCCATTGTTGGGCCGGCTCGTGTTACTTTAAACATATATGAAGGAAAATATCGGTATATTACGGCTTCGTACTTGCTTTAAAAAAATTACATGGCATGTATACCTAAGTTAATCTTGTATTCTTTTGGTAACTCATTAACTTCCTTACAATAAATTAAAGTCAAAAGGTAACACGATTACCTCTAAGATAGCAGTTTTTTTGACGATTTAAAAGGATGAACCTGGTGATCTAATTTGAAAAATTTGACATTTCGAACCGAAGTGAATTTAAGTCAATTTTTAATATATATGCAGAAAGTATATAATGTTTATAATGTTTGTAAATTCAATTCTAGAGTAAAATTTGGAAGACATTGGACAATCGCTCATAAAAAATAATACTTGAGCTGTTTGTATTTCTTAACATAAAATTAGGATCATTAAATTTGTATTGATTGTTAAGGCCGGGACCAATATTAATGATAAGTGGCCCAATTTAAACTTGTGTTGATAATTTGTTGATAGACACATGCTACAGAAAACAATTTTTGGTATCTGCGTACGGCTTAAATTAGAATTGAGTCTAATTACCACTACAAACTATGGTCGTACGATCATCAATTAATTGGTTTCCATCTTATACTATATTTATTCCATTGTTGGCGCTAAATGATGAGTTATTATAGTGGAATTAATTCATCTATTTAATCATTACCCATAAGGAGACGAGAGTCGTTGAACTTACGAGCGAAAAGTTGTAGTTCATGAAAAAATATATGGTATGGCCCGTGTGAGCTGTGAAGCCTGCAACATCTTAGGTAGCTAATTACCTGCGCCGTCGGTAGAAGTCACGCATGTTGATCTATAGCGTCAGCTCACCCTGCACCCGCTCTAAGGCATAGCGCCCTTCTAAACCTACCTAGTTCCTAGTAATGCAAATTCATATTTTTTACCTTTAACTTTTAATAAACTAAGTAATAGACTTTCAATTTTTTAATATAAACCATTATAAATATCACTGATAAAAGCAGCTGAGTAAGCTGCTCTTCGATATTTTGTAACAACGAAAATGGGGATATATAAATATTTCTAGGGATGCAGTTCGCAGCGAGGCTAACATTCAAATTAAATGTATCTTTGATATAAATTGTTGAAGAAATTGGATATTTTTTTTGTGATCAGTAAAATTCTAACTTAAGCCGTCTTTTTTGTAGTCATTTAAGTTTTCAAATTTTTACCTGTTATGATAATTCAACAAATAAGTGGACGCTACGGTAGAGCAGCAATTGCATAATTTCGCTTCGCATGCAAAATTATAATATAGAGAAGCTTTAATTTATGAAAAAAGTGTATGTCTCTGCAAAATTAATCAAAGCTGCATGGGTAATCAATTTCTTTATGCGTGATTCGCCAAGGTTTTAATACAAACAATGTGTTTACTTCCACATCAGAATATTAATCCGCTTGAAAATGTGTCCTGTTGAGCCCAATGTTTTTACGGATGTCCAACTGGGGCACAGAAAGTATTAGAGCGAATTGCCGAATTGCGTTCAGTAATTTTAGGGCGATAAGACAACAAGGTAAAGACACACATTTGCGTAAATAATATAATTTCGTATAAAATGCTTTGATATAGTAATGCTTTAATTAAAGATGTGTTTCATTCCAATAATATCGTTTATCGTCATAAAACCGTATTTTTCATTCAAAAAATTACGAAAATTTAGCGTGGGAGTAAAATTATCTCAATAATATCCTACAACGCACACAGCACTCAATAATATCGTGCATTGCATATAGAACTCAGTAATATCGTATATCGTGATAATAGCGAATTTTTTTCATCGAAAAAAGAATAAAATTTTCGTTAGAACAAGATTCCCTCAATAATATCGTATATCAAAGAATTATCGATTTTTTCATCCACGAAATTTTGAGTATTTAGCGTAAGAGCAAGAGGCCATAGCGACACATCTCTCTTGTGTCTCCTGTGGAGGTCGTTCGACGCCGGCCAATGCTCGCCTACATGACATCCAATCAGCAGCTAAAAGATGAATGGCCACCAGTGATGTATGATGAAGCACAAGTGTCTTGTCGGAGGATCGTAAGAACAAGAATATCATTATACTTGCGAATTTGTTATAAAATAATTGATAATGCGAGGCAGTAGTCTCCATGTTTTGTGTGAGGTTTCGAAAACCAATTCTAAAAATAATAATCATTCCTCCAATTGTTTCAGGGCAAAAGTTGAGATAAAAATTCCGTTAATGCATGATTTAAGACTATTATATGCGTAAATTTAGCGTTAGTTAGAATTGGCAACAGCTCACCGACTGAACATCTGCAGTTCAATACAATGAATATAAGGATTCATTCATCCATTCAAATGAATACAAGGTTTTCCAGACATTTTAAGGTTATGTAACCAATAAAAATCAACTGAAACTTTCTCTCTTGGTTCAGTATTATTGGGAATATTGAATCGTGTCATATTCTGTATCAATGATACTACCAGTTTCATGCTCTCCTTGAGTAATGCTGTTGAAAGGGCGACTGAATCATGATATAAGATGCAATTAGGAAGAATCTTACCTGAATTAATAAAAAGTTGTAATAATTCTGGTGCTTAGCCCTAGAATTCATTGAAATAATTTCCATTAAACATAAGAAGATTTTATAAAATTTATTGTTATCTTAAGTCGTACGTGCTCATTGATCGATAAAAAATTAGAAGTCAATTGAGAAATAGTTGGTGAATCAGTATATTGGCACGTTGTACATATAGGGTTAAATTAATAAAGGAAGAAAATTTGTGTTAAAATTCTAAATGACTATAGAAAACGTGGAATGGAAGCATAAATGCATCGGGTGTAGAATTTTTTATAAGATGTATTTTCATACAATTCCAGCGTCGCTAATCTAGGGGTGATTGAAAAAAGAATCAAATGACCAAGTTATGTAGGTATAAATCAATGTAATGGATTCGTACATGAACGTTTCTTGTTTGAATGATGTATACTCATCGCTTGTAAAATACCCGAGTTACCAAGCTATGCGCTAAGCGCCTCTACGCCTCTTAATTTCGTTTCCGTATACCCCCTTTTCTTTTCTGGTCACCCTGAGCCGCCTCTTGACCATTTCCCACATTTCTAGTGGCAGCGCCACTACCGCAGCCTACAAATTTTACGGGTTCATAAAATTTCCATTTAGCAAATTTACCGGTTTAATACTGACCACCTATCGATTGCCTCACAGCAGTACAACACGAGCGCGGGCCTCGCAAGCCGCGACCTAAGGACACGGCCGGTCTGCCCGGCGTCTCAGTAACGTTCCCTGGAATGCTGCCGCACTCGGACCACAACCCCTTCCATTACACCGCCACCTCCGCCGCCATCGATTCCAACAACTCCACCAGGCTTAGGCCAATGTTGTTGCCTCCACCACCTCCACCGTCTGGTACATCAACATTACCAAACATTAAGCACACTCACCTCAACCAGCACAGACCCAATACCCATCATGGACTCACCGAGGGACTTATTGCTCCAACTCCTCTCTTTCTACCCCACTCGACCCATGCGAGTGTCCCAGTGATGCCGTTCTCACCACAACATGAAAAAGTAAATAAACTACTCATTTTCTTTAGATGTGTTGAGAAAACCTCTGGCTTAAATTATTGTTTTTGAATATGTTGAATAAACAAAACCTACGTGGGATACATGAGAATACTTTGTTAATGAAATATTAGGTGCAGAGCTCCAAGACTTATTCGGAAGCAGAAGAAAACGATTCATTGGCATACAAGCGAAGAAGAATAAGCTTATGTAAAATGTTGCTATAATGTAAACATATGAAATTTTGGCTTAACGTTTTGAAGAAAAAATTCATCATTTCAGACATGCGCCAAAATTAAATAAATTTTCTTAAAGTTTTCGTTGTTATTATTGTGCTTAATTTTCAAGCGTCGTTTTCCCCAGATGTGGCTCCACGCATCTCCGTCGCACAACGCAGCTCTGAACAACATCACAAACAGCATCGCTAGTAAAATCAACAGCAGCAGCAGCAGTAATAGCATCATAACTAGTATCAGTGACCACGCTAACAGGATGAATATGAATGAAATATCGGAGAGTGCATTCCACGACAATAAACCTACACTCGAAGATGGAATAGACGATTTATCATCCAGTGCAGCATCGATTATTAGTAAATTATCATCAAGCACAATTGTGTTCAACCATGGCTCTAACACCAATCAGGCATCACCCAACAACAACAACGATTCCAACAGACACTCCCTCTCCTCCTCAAGTTCGAGTAATCCCTACGATGGTTCAAACATCATCTTCAACGGTAACCTCTTCTCAAGAGCAGCAATTGGGGCCACAGCTTTTCACTTCCCCATGTCGTCAATGCCTACAATACTCCCCTTTGCTCCCACATGGGAAATTTTCCAGGTAAGCATTCATGTCTGAGGCAATTAGAATCAAATTTTAAAATAAAAAATTCTCAAAGCACTGTGATTAATGATAACGCGTGATATTTAAATGCTGAAAAAATAAATGCTTTAAATGCTAAATGAAATCACAAAGTTCAAATACTGAAAGCATTATAAACGCTTTAATCATGAAACATTTTTCAATAGGAGACCACAGCTCGGCTGCTCTTCATGATGGTGCGTTGGATCAGGTCTTTGGCTCCATTCCAAACACTCTCACGACAAGACCAGGTACTATACTAATGGAAAAAATGAATTGTATTATATTTATAAAATTATTATCAGATTATATATTACGTATATAGGGCTGAAAATATGTATATTTGCATTCCTGCACGTTAGAAATATTTTAAATAATTATTCTCGTCGAGTACAACCGTTCGCTTAACGTACTTGCATGTTGTCGTTGCCTCGAACTGATTCTCTATGTTTTTGATATTTTTCAGTGAAAAGAGATTAATCGCTGTGATTTTATATACCACTTGACACTATAATGTTGATTTTATTGGATTCATAGGATCAGATTTACAGAAATAAATAAAAATAAATAAAGGTTGTATACCTATGGGCCAGAATTGGGTAAACTATAAGTAATAATAAGACGCGCATTCAAGCCAACGGCAGTCTGCTCAGGTATAATCTAAAAAACCCAACCCAGTTTATTCTCCTCATAATTCTATTATTGTTTGTGTTTGCTCAGTGCACGTTGGTTGAGGCGTCATGGAAGGAGCTCTTCCTAGTACACTTGGCACAGTGGTACCTTCCTGTGGACCTTGCCCCGCTACTCACCTCTCCTGCCGCGTCTCTCAGGTCAGGGGCCATACTTTCAAAACTCGCTAAGTGAACGTAAGTACTTACGCTCTATTTTCTTGTCTATGATTGGTGGATACTTTCAAAGCTCGCTATGTGAACGTAAGTACTTACGCTCTATTTTCTTGTCTATGATTGGTGGATTTTGTTTAAAAGGCCGTTAATGATGCGCTGATGAACTTACGATCACCTAACTTTTCTTGAAAGTATGGGCACAGGTCCTGAAACTCAACTGTTCCTATTGAAATGCACTCATCGCTGAGGTATAAAATGCAGGCAATATGTTGCCGTATTATCAAATATAGTTTAAGATTTTTTTACTACGTAAGCCAATCAACGATAGCGTTTCATGCCAAACCCACCAATCACAGGCTAGAAATTGTGGACACTATGTGCACTTAAGAGGTTTTTAATAGTAAAGCCCAAGGGAAGATATCAGTCGGAATAAAATGAGCGTTTTGCAGTAAATAAGGAGCGGTTATAGCAGACAGTTGATATCGGCAGTCAAGTGTTTTCAGAATATTATTGAAAATTGTCATGTTACCTGCTAGCCATTAATATAAATTGAGCATGACCGCCGAAATGGAATAGAGATAAGTAACTTAAACATTGAAAATCATTTATCAATTGTAATAATTTCAAAATTGCGTAAAAATTTATTTTATTTCAATGTATTTTTGGTTTGGTATTGTCGCACTTCATGTTCATTGACAAGAATTAGGCTTACCTGAAGCAGCTTCAAGTTACTTATGCAAAACCTTATTCAAATTTTCCTTGTTTCCCTCGCATTTTACTGTCATATACTACAAAAAATAATATTTGTCGTCTAATGTACTCACCAGAGTGCCTCAAGACGTACGCACGGCCAGCGAGGTCGCCACAATACAGGACGTACTCAGGCGCTTCAGGCACCTCAGCCCCGACACCACAGAGTGTGGCTGCCTCAAGGCAGTGCTGCTCTTCAAACCAGGTAATGTCTTCTCCCATTCCATAGAGAAAATAAAAAAATTTGGTACTTAAATTTTAATTCGAAGATCGGGAGAGAGATTGAAGTGTACGTTGGTGTAAAAATTAAACATTTCCGCTGTAAAAACGATGCTGACTTTCAAACCAGGTAATGTGGTCTGCGATTACATGAATAGAATAAATGAATTTTATACTTAAGTCTTAATTCTAAAATTTGTACATAACCTGAAGTGTACGTTGGTGTAGAACTAACAAATCTTGAACGTAAAAAAGATAAAATGTTGATAAAATTTACCGGAACCTTGATGATGTTTGGGGTGCGAGTTCAATATTTCGATTGATGGCTATTAAAGATAGGAAGTGAAACTCAGTTTATGGAATTTATTTCTTTGAACAGAAAGATTGTCCATTAATCGATAACTGCTCAAGCATCAAGTAATTTGTCTGATGCATGTTTCCTATGCAAACCAAACCGATGACCAAGTTAATTGTAGATTAAAAAATGTTAAGATCTGTGAGAAACTTGCGGAACATACTCAGCGATGGCATAAATGATAGTTTAATTCTCAATAAATTAAAATAAATCTATTGAGTACTTTCATCTCAGAAGCAGGAGACCTGGTAGACCTTCACCCTGTAGAGATGCTACAAGACCAGGCTCAGTGCATCCTCAGCGACTACATCAGGAGTCGCTTGCCACGCCAGCCCACGCGCTTCGGGCGCCTGCTGCTGCTGCTGCCGGGGCTGAAGACGGTGAGGGCGTCCACGGTGGAGGCGCTTTTCTTCAGAGACACCGTCGGGGATACGCCCATACACAGGCTCGTGCTCGATATGTACACCATGGACAAAAGCGACTGAATTAATATCAAATATTGTGTCTCCATCAAATATTCCATCGCGCATTTTACTTCAGGTTCGTAGTTTGCATCATGAATTAGAACCAGTCGGTAAATTTCTTGGCTTAAAAAAAATGTAACATGTTCATTCATGGTTGAAGTTAAAGGATTAAGAATATCTAACATTTTCGATAGATGATATTATTTGAAATGAAACCTGGATACATGGAATTCTTTAAACGCTTATTGATGCATTGTCAACACAGCATCATTTCAATCAATGTATGGACGTTGTTACGATGTATGAATATTTAATAACGATTCCTATCCGCGTGATCCGAAACAAAATACCAAATAATGAGCGTTTCTAGTAAAGCTGAAAAGGATGATAATGCAAAAAATGATGTCTAGCGTGATGTTGAACTAATGAACCATCAAATTTCTCGAGTTTTGGATAATCTCAAGATTGCAAGTCTTTGAAAAATTATTGTAAATTAAAATCTGAAAGAATTTGACTAAGTCCTACATTTACTTCATTTAAAGTGTTTTTTTTTGTACAAATCCAAGATATCTTCTGAATTCATTGATGTGATTATAATATCTCATGCTCCACAATTTTAGCTTTACCATAAGAACCATATGTTTATCGCGTAGGTAACTTGAATACTGTGAATTATTGTGCCAAATTTGTGTAGACTTCAATATGATGACTCTTCACTGCATCACTCTGACTTCTGCTCGAATTTTTTTTATTTTATTTTTTTACCGGTATATATCGCAACTTTGTTCACATGGGAGTACACTCTTATAAAAAATGTTGCATTATATTTTTCTCCTCTGCATGAATGGGAATAATTATAATATTTTTAACTCTCAACAGTCATTTGACAATATTCATTTCAATTCGGTAAATGGGCTGACGAAAATTTTTGAAGGTAGAAATTAATCTGAATAGATGTAGATTTCACAGAAATGATTGAGGCTTTAAATATCGAAATCTCTTCATTACCAACAAATGATGGCTGGAGTCTGAGTGATGATAGCGAGGTACCTACGTGTAATGTTATACTGTTCAAAATTTGTATAGCATAATATATCTAATCGTCCGAAGCCTAAATGTGTACATGTTAACATGAAAGTTTAAAATATACTTACTGACGGGAAATACCAATCACTGACTTATTATTTAAGTTTTTTTTAATTTGCAACTAATTATACTTGCAAGAGAAAGAAACAACCATAAAAACATCTACTCAACGTTCAAAAGTTTCCTCTATATTACAGAAAAATTAGGTAATGCCAGTTTTTGAGACAGTGCACCAGGAGAATATCGTTGTACTAAACCAGGAATTTGGATACCGACAGATTTATTATGAAAATAATTTAAAATATGTATAGGTCTGTATGAATAATGTATAATGTGTAATCATCTATGTGCAAATTTCTGGTCCTAAGATTTCAATAATTGTGCTGTTAATTAAGTTTCAGTGTTAGAAGAGGATGTACCTGCATCTAAATGTATTCAATTTCTAAATATATCGATAAATTTGTCCCATGCTAGTTTTAATCAATAAGTACAGTTTTATTAGCAAGTTTCCTTCAAATAAATGGACTTTCCTCGAAGTTGACTATTGGGCGCAAGTTCTCCAACCAAGATCGTTGCCAAACGAACGTATAAATAACTCACTCATTTTCGAGCTAAATCTACCAATGGATTAGTAAGAGCGACTTAATTATAATTTTGACCTTAATGTTGTCAGTTGGCGAAATAAATTCACGGAATTGGAGAGGGATGTTTGAGTAGTTTGTTTTTGTGAAGCAGAAGCAAGTATATTAACAGAAGCGTGGGTGTGTCTATATAAGAACAGAAACTCGGATCTTTGCAGTTGCTAACGTTAGTTCTATGTTTTATCAATTCTATGTTTTATTAGTTATATGTTTTATCAGTTATAAGTTTTTAGTTGAATGTTTTATTAGTTCTATGTTTTATTAGTTCTATGTTTTATCAGTTCCATGTTTATCAGTTCCATGTTTTATCAGTTCCATGTTTTATCAGTTCAATGTTTTATCAGTTCTATGTTTATACAAAGCGACGCATGTAAACTGTGTTCTGTAAATGCGTTAACGAACGTCACTCGTTAATTTTATGCGGGTAGGTAAAGCTAGACCTTCTTGGTAGGTAGAGATCGTCATCTAAGTTTTGGCATAGTTGAGAAATACTCGGCCCTAGGTTCGAGTTCAGTTGAGCTGCTTTGAAACTCTACGAACTATTCTTTAGCACTAGCCTCTCCACTAAAACAAATAATTATTTTGTAAGAGGGCCTTGGTTTTTCTTAAGATTTGGTATGTGTTTCTTTTTGGTTTTGCTATAACGTTTAACTTCGATACTGGCACTTGGCAACAGACGTACTCGAGATTATAAGGAGCCACGAGTTCAAAAAGAGCACACGTAACAGACAGTCTGTGGTAAGTAAACTGTTTAGACGCCGTGGCTCTGTTTACATTGGACTGTTTGCGTCGAGCTCTTGCATGCCTCTCAATGACGTTAAAAATACATGTCGAGTGAATGAAGAATGCGAACAACATTCAAACTTTTCCAAGTTTTCCAAAAAATTAAGAGAAAATATGCATATTTGTTGTTAGTTCTCTGAGAGGTCGGTGCGCTACTGCTGCCACCACATACTGGCTCTCAGCAGCGTTCTTAGTTGGATGAAGGGACTGGGGCTACAGCGGGCCCAAGGATTGATTGTTTAAATTCACTGATCCACATTAAATTAATTTATTCGTGGCACCTTCCAGATATTATCTGGGGCGAACTTTACGACATATTTTTTTAAATAACGACAACTGAAAATACTCGAGGTAACCACAATTCTTCAGTTAAACATCTCGAACTTAATCTTTTAATTCGGTGACTAATTTTAAATGTTCTATTCCCTTGACTGATTTTTGAAAAAGCATAACTGGAAGGGAAAACGAAATTTTTAAGGCATGACCGTAAGGTGCAAACGCTGATTTTACCCTCATTTTATTACCATTTAAATGACTGATAATTCTTTGCGATGTTATAATGGCGATGCGCCAACATGGCCCACATACCAACCCCGCTGAGTCCCACGGACGTGTGGGACGAACGTGGGCGCCACCAAAGTTAGTTAAACACCTTGACGTGGTGACCAAAAATAGAGAAAATGAGGTGGTGCGCCATGTCTGTACATAGGTTGCGCCATGTCTGTACACGGCGGCTAGCCGGCTATATTAGAGCTAACATCGCGGCTATCTCCTCATTACAGTGCCGGCTGCATGTCATGCAAGTTCGGTCTTCTTCGTGCCGAATTTTCTTAATCGTCTGAATTTCGTATTTTGGAAATTCAAAAATTTGCCCGAATTTTTTATCTCGGATCATGGCATTGCAACGTCAAGTATTTGCTAAGGTAAGTAATTCTATTTCAGGTAAGTTCAGTCCAGGTGATGAGTCCGAATGAGTATAATTATATACTTGAGGAAGTGATTGAAGAGTATAGACAAGCTCATCTAAAAAAGTATGCATGAATTGTGGACACCTTCATGTGTAAGAAATGTTCGTAAGTGCCTGTTAGGATTTGCTCGAAAAAAGTATCCAAGAAACGATTCTGTTTGCAAGTATTACACACTAGAATTTATATTTTCCTATTAATAAAAATGGAAAATATGGAAAAATGTGTCAGAAATATGATTGACAAGCTTGTGCGATCATTTATTACACCGATCAGGATAAATGAGCCACATCAGAACTTGATTTGCCTTTTCAGAAGCACCAATTTGCTGGCCTAAAAATTTTGCCGATGCTATAAATATTGTCAATCCATGATTTAATTATCCAAAACCTGGACATTCATTACAGAATTATCGTGGCATGTTATCGTCTAATGTCTGGTCAGTGTACGCAGCAAAAGTGCAGCTTAAATGTTAAAAGAATTAAGTGGTGCAATTATGTCTCTATAAGTTAATCGGAGTGATCTTTCCGTAACGTAAGAGCGCCTTAACCTGTATAAATTCTAAAAAGAACTCCCATTCTGTGATGCCGTGGATGAAGTCTTGCCCAATTAATTACCGCGGAGTAGCTCAGCAAGAAATTCACTTCTAAAAAATGCGTTGTAGAAAACAGAAAATTGATTTATCTGTTAAGAGGTATGGTATGCAGTTACGAGAATTGCACCATACAAAAGATCGGTAAACAGTGGCGAGATTTACACTTGTAAAGAATATAACGGAGCATACTTATCTCGTGCTCATAAGATTTAGACCTCTCAGATAGGACCAGAGTCGACAAGCTTATGCAAAACTTTGTCTCTAACCAGAACTTGCCGTAAAGAGTTCAGCAATTTGGTACGTAATCATTTACTTAAGTTATGATCATTTTATTTTTTTACGTTGATTAAGAGCTCAATATTGTTTATAAGTTCGAATACCCTCAACTTATCGTTCCAATTGTTCATTCTTTGTTTTTATAAGCCGTTTAGTCATCTAAGAGTTTTCATTCCGAACAATCCCCCGAACAAAGAACCATATTCTTTACAACACTGTTGAATATCCTAGTAATGGACGTTTTTGAAAATACAGACATCAGTTTTTCTCTTGATAGTTGTAACGGGTGTTTCCCTCGCGAATTGTTAGATGAAGAGTACCGTTAGCTGTCCTCATGCAGGGTGCGGTGAAGAATAAGGGACGCTGCTCGATCTATTCAATTATCAGTAACTGTTGTCTGTAGGAATAGCTCGGCAAAGATTAGTGAATGTTTCCTTCATGAATATTTCAGCGAAGATAAATGAGCATTGCCAGCAATATATAATAGCTCGGTGAAGTGTATATAGTCACCCTGGCGTATGTAGCTTATATCGAGTGTTGCTGTAGTGCAGGAAGTCATTAGCTGCCCGCATCAGTTCGGTTGAGGAGGGCGATGCTGGCAATGCTAATGCTGAGCAAGCAATGAGGCGAGCTCAGTATATTGACTCTCGAACTGCCATGCTGGCTTGTGCAGCCCATGTTGCAGCAACCCTGGCTTGTGTCATGTTGCAAGCGTTTGTTGAAGTGGGCTGCGCCAAGCTAATTATTTGATTATTGCAGCAGCTTCTGCCTGCTCAGTATTTAATGTTGCAAGAAAATTATTAACCAGATTGTACGTCCAGCCTAATCGATCGAGAAGCATTTGCTTTCAGTAACAAACGCTGAAAAAGTTTACAGAGATTGATTCGAGATTACAGTCGCAAAATTTGTTGTGTATTCGCTAGTTTTGATACAGAGTTATATTACAATTTATGGCGTCATGGCTCGTGCAGATTATCTTGAAACTAGACTTCTTTGACGTGATCATAGTATTGTAACAGTGGCCTATCTTGTTCTTCAAGAGACAGTTTATTATCTACGTTTTATCATCAACATTACTGGGTTTGTATATTTTCCCCATTCTATAACACTTGGTCATCGTGATTACGCAAAGCTTGCATCGTAATAAATTCAGTATAAACCAATCAGCAGTTTTTAGTGGACAGTGCATAAAGTTTTCATTATCGGCATATGCAACTGCATATAACATTTATTTGTGGTTCTCATAATTGCAAATATTGTTTGTAAACTTTGCGACTTCAAAGTATTTAAAATATTTATACTAGCAGCGAGCTCAAAAAATAAGAAAAATTAATTACCGGAATTATGTTGACATTGCTGGTAACTTTCCGTTAGGCGAAAAGGCTCAGGTTCGTTTGGAATATTGCGAAATCGTCGCGGCCCACGACGTGAAATGTTAATTACCAGTTAACTCAATGCAGTAGGTATTTTAGCACATAAATTAGCATAAAGAAGCCTAATATCAGATTTTATTGGATCGAATTTATTAATACAATGATTTCTGTACACTATGAAATCAATCTCATAGACTGAACATTAATGGAGATTACTGTAGACGGTTGAGCTACGAGGACAAAGAAGTAAATAAAAATATAACTTTGAGGCGAAAAACATCCACGAATATGAGACACTATAAAATAAAGTTAACTTAGGAAGATTCAAAGGTTCGGAACAAAATCTAGAAACCTAAACCATATATTCTACCTTATTTTAAAACAAACTTTCCTGATTATGGGAGATTATAGACTAATTGGATAGTGAGAGTAAAGATTGTAGTGAATCGATCGTAACACTGCATGTAGCGCGTTAATTTATTTGGCATCACTTAAACAATTTCTGCTGATGAAAATAAAAAAGTTATTTCTGAATTGCGTTTTACATAGCCAAACAAGAATGATGAAATTGGAAATTAGTGCTTTAATATTAGAACTCTACTTTCGACTTTAGCACCCAACAGATATAGCCTTCAACGAGCTTTCTCGTTTACAGACGTTCACGTAACATCAACACCCATTATGAATTCCATGCGATCACTCTGAGACGAACTAATGAGCTCGCATATTTTGGTTCTTTGTGACATAACAGTACGATAAAAATGAGACCTTTGATCAATAAATGGTTTCAAATTGACCTTTCTTGAAGCATATAGTCGTATTTTTGGTTGAATTCATTAGACTTGCCGATGATGTACATAATATTAGTTACATGTGCCGGCTGTTGCCAAAGGCCCCCTGACCCGCTTGGGTCGCGCCCTTGTTCTGGCCCATCTGAAGGCCGATTTGTCCCTCTCTCAGGGCCCTCTGCTGGTCCTCGTCCCAGACCTTCTTATCGGCCTCCGCCATCTTGGGCCCCAGGGATGGGCCCTTGTACTCTGGATGCTTCTGCGTCTGTAGGGATGGAGATACGATTGAACTTAACGCATCAGTACGATATATGCTGAGAAAGTAATACTTTAAATGACCGATTGACCATTCCAGATATTGGTAAATTGAATATCGATGAAAATGAACTCTCTACTCAAACGCCTAGGCATAACTGAAAGGAAGTTCTTTCGTTTCACTTCCAACATTTAGAAGAAAATTTATTTCTTTTGATAATTTTCATTCTTTAATAATCACAAAGAATGTAAAATTTTGATGCATCTAAACTTGTAACTAATGAAATATTCTATGATTATCCGTGTCGAACAATATTGAGAATAAGCACAGACAAGCTACGCATCAAAGCTTTGCACTTAGAGCCTTAGGAGAACAGTTTCTTAAGAGAACAGATCAAAGGAGAACAGATCAAAGGAGAACAGATCTCCTTAGAGTCTTAGGAGAACAGAGCAAATGCCAATGGACTGGAACTCACGATTCTGCCCAAGGAGTAGAGAGAGATGACCACTTGCGGGATGTTGCGTCGCTCGAACAGGTCCGCGGTCTGGAAAATTTCTTCGTGAGGGACGCCGTATTTCTTGGCTGCCTTTTGGAATCTGAGGAGAATGATACTTTTTTAGGAGAAATGTTCAATATTCTTTTGTGTTTTATGTGAACGATTCTATTGCGTCTCTTTGAAATCGGCAAAACTCACGTGCTTTACTTGCAACAATTCTCAAAAGTCCCCAAAGGTAATAATAACCTTCGTATATATAATTATGATGGTGATTCTACAGCATATTTTCTGATTCAATTTTAATAATTTCTTGTCAAACTAAAATTGTTTATGCATTGCTGATTGTTAGTAAAGGTCAATCATTAACGATGTCAGTACAGTTAAATTTAACCTAATAAATACATCTTCACTGCCCCACTAACAAAAATGTTTGAGCTAGTTCGTGAACGGTCGGACCAACCTCTCGATGTTCTCCATGAGTTTGAATGAGCCGCCCGAGGTCTGTATTTTATTCACGGAGCCTGGCTCGAGTTTGTTCATAAGTCTGCAGAGAATAACTCCGTCCTTGAGAACGTCTTCGAAGGCACCTGGCGGCAAGGGTTCCTCCAGCACCGCGGCGATCCAGTCCAGCACCTCCTGTTCCAGCTCCTTGTTTCGGCCCTGAATAGATAATAATACGGATGAACCATAGAATAATTAAACAATTACACAGATTGGTTAAATCGAGGTGGGGACATGTGATAATAGGGAACTAAATTTGAAAAATATATTTAAGAGACTTAATTAATTATTCTTGTTGAGAGTTTCTCTATTATTATTTTAATAGATTATACTGGAACTACGCAAAGTAATATGCTTTAGGTTGTAAGAGATTTGCATGAACTTATCATAAATGCAGAAATTATTTCAGGAATATGAGAAGAGAGGAAAATTCTTTTCGTTTTACGAGAATACTTATTGTCGGCTGAAAATAATTCGTGACAAACGAGACACAAAATCATGGTTGAAATGATGCACGACTGCGGCTCCCTTTTCACTTGAGCGCCCGTGCAGCTAGGATCGTGACAGCTACACGATTTTTGCCCAAAACAATTTCAGTATATAGAATAATTCATTATATATGAATGAAAATTAAGCCATTAAACACCTATAACCTAACAATGCCACTTAAAGAGACACAATCGTGTAATCTTACTCGTTGTAAAATTTCGGCTTCAAGCCCCGAAATAGCGAAAACCTATTTACAGGGAAACAACGAAGCGATTAGCAATTCTGAATATAACTGCTCGACTGGGGAAATTAATTTTCGTTGTATTTCCTAGAACTCTACAGCAATATGTAGGAAATTTCGAGTTGGTGAACGAATTTTCTTGCAACAATATTACTAATAAAATTGTTTAAAAGCTTGTTTGTAATTTTTGGTGATTATCTGTGCTACGTATTGGAGTGACAAAAGTTTTCTAAAATTTAATGAATAATGACGTTTACAAATGTTATGTAGAATTCTCAATGAAGGAATATAGAATTCTGTACAAGTAAATGTTCATAGAATTAATTATTACATAGATTTAATTTTAAGAAGAGAAGCCCAAACTCGTGGAAATTTCATAGAAAAAAAAAGAAGAAATTGGTGTAACGAAGATAAAAAAAATTGCAACCTGAGTAATATTGTGGGCGCTGACTGAGGACATGAACTTGGCACGCGCTCGGGGAAGAATAATTGAGCTTTTTATTTCATTTTAATTATCCTCGTATCTTTACTGGCTTTTAAATGTATCTATGTTCTGATTCTCGATTGCTCATAGAACAGGGTGAGCAATATTTATAACAATTGAGTATCAATCACTTGATATGCTTTTCACATGTATTCAAGTTTTTTTTTAAATTTTGGTTTGTATTCGTGTGCTAGTTTAATTCATATGAGTGAGATTCCTTTAAGAATCTATATAAAAAAGTTTACGTAAAAATTCAGAAAAAAGTCACCCTTATAAGATTAGTTCAAAGCAATATTTCAGTTAATCCACTTAATACCACAATGCCAATGTAATTGTCCGTTGCCAATGAAAATCGTCGTTTGATTTAGGTCACGTTCAATATGTTAGAAATTCACTTTTATTTTTCCAGAGATTCCATCGGGCGGCAGCTCCGTAAATCTGTGGCGGCAAAGCGCTTCATTAACTCCAGCTCTTAATTATAAGAGCGACTCTCGGCGCCGCTGCCAACTTTTATTCGCATCCAAGACTTTGGAATCGCGGTGCTCGATTATATCGCTTCTAGAAATTAAGGGAAAATTTTTAAGCAACATGAGGGTTCGAGTCTTAAATTACAGGGCGCTTTCTCGCCTCTGATGAGCTTAACCTTAATTGAGGCGATCTTTCAAACAAATCTTGCGCAAAATTTTCCAACGATGAAAGAAATGAATGGCTAACTCGTATTTACTTACGATTGAAAGTTCCGCAGTATTTAAAAGGTGACTTCTTAACAAAGCATATGAATGGTATTGTTGTGATTTGAGAGATAATTATTAAACCGTTTATAATATTTTAATATCATTAATTGCTCAAAAATTGTATGCACTTAAAAATGGTTTATTAATCTCCCATGCTGCACTGAATATAGTTGCCTTGGGATCACTTATTCCCGTTTATTAGCGCATTTTCTCATTTATGGAAAAAAGCGCTATTGTGCTCGATATGTCCGTCCGTCTGTCCGTCTGTCTGTCAGTCCGTGACTTCACGTTCTCGTCGACGAGAAAATGCGCTCTCTGTCACTCACTGCAGTGGGCACTGAGTTATATTTTTTTAAAATCTTCATCTGTTTTTTTGTCATTTTGTCGATAATTTATAATGGAAGTTGACACCTTCTTTCAAACGTTCTGTGGTTTTTAGATATATCGTGAAGTTTTTTATATCGGTGGCGTTCGCTGCCACCTGTCGGGCCCTGATGACTGCACCAGATGGCGTATAAATACACCGCTGCTCCGCCTGTCTCTCATGAGTGTGTTCATGACTATTTTCGTCATCTCATCTTGGTAACTGAGGTAGCAAATACCTCAGTTGTAGGGCCTCTTATCACAGTATTAATTTGTTGTTAGATGTTACATTAAAATAGTTATTTTACTTTCAACTTCCGTTTTCTGGGTTCTTCATAGATTTCGGTATAGCAGCGGTGAGCTCTCTCACACATTAATAGTAATGAATATGGGCTCGGCATTACCGATATCATCGGACATAGAACAAAACTGCAATTGGTTATTATTAAAACAAGTTCCGTGTTTTTAATCAGGACGAATACTCATTGCATTGCTTTTTTGCTTGATCTCTGATTTCCTAGCACGTGCGTTCAGATAATCAAACTACAACGAAAACATAGGAAATGATCTGATCCACTTTGGGAACTGATTCAGCCAACTTAGAAGTGAAGTCATAAAAGTTCGGTTAAAGAGCTGTACAAACAGTTGGGATGGCTAAGAATTACAAACACTGCCAGTGCAATGGCTTGTCTGACTCGGGCACAGGTGTTCGCTTCTGGCGTGAAATGTCACAACATCGCTCATAAATCTTCTAGTGCAACAACTGTATATAGGGCTTAACACGAGCTTTTTGCTTTGGGTACTAACTTTTTCAGATTTTTAAGTCCTAAATGTGATTTGTATCAAAATTTCTTATCGATTTATTTGTAGCGCATTAATAGCATATAATTTAAAGTCATGAATGGATGTTTTGAACCCACAATAGTGAATTATATTTGCTTCTTACTTAAAAGCACTAAAGTGAATATGCACAAAAAATAGTGCTTCGGCTGATACGTTTTTGAAGTTTAATTGGGAGATAAATGAAGTTGGAGTTCAAACCCGGCGAACACGTCTAAATTTTAAACGTAAAAGATGTAAATTTACCCCAAAACTTGAGCCCAGTCAGTCATAATGACTATGACAGGAGTGTGCAGCGAATACAATGTTTGTACTAGGTAGCAGCTGTTATAAAAAAAGATAAAATGTCATATTATAAGTTAAAATGTCATACATTATTGGCGGAAAGAGAATTGGTTCGCAGCGTTTAATTTTCCCAGAAATTGGCTGACGCCTTTCGCATGTTATGAATAAACGTATAGAAGAAATTGCACAATGTGGGGAACAAATTTTATTGAAAATCGCATTATCAGTGGAGTTTAAATTCATCTTTCGATTAATGTTACTGGAACAAAGATGTTTAGTTACATCAACCGTAGTCATTATAGTCATTACATCAACTATAATTATTTCATCCAAGCACGGTTGAGTAATGTTATTTAACTTGTTAATTCTACCCATAGGAAGTACAGAAGATTGTATTACATAAGAAGGAATTAATTATTGTCACGATCGGAATCAAGATTTTCATGTCCCGCTTATACACCGGTCAACAATTCTGTTTCAGAGGAGATCAGTAATCTGTCCGTTTTTTCAACCTTGAAACCCAGGACAGAATTCCTGTCAACTAAGGAAATTCCCACACGCTCATCAACAGTTAAATCAGTATTTAAAACTGATAGTACGATGATACAGACTAAAACCGAACGAGATTCATCCGATGAACCTAATTATTCTCGAATTCTAAATATCAAAGTTCATAACTTACCACCATGCTGGCTAGTAGTTCTTTCTACGTGTACAAGTATCCCAGATGAAAGTTGGTTGAAGCCACCAGCTGAGTCGTATACGGCGGATCTCACGAGACTGGGCCGCGGTGCCAAACTTTACTGCAGCAGCGGCCCGGCAGCGGCTGAGGTGGGCAGGCAGCGCCTCCAACACCCACAACCTCGGGCGCACCTGAGCTTTGGCTTGGCACGCGACCTTGCAAGCGTGATTATGCCTGATATTTTCTTGTTTTCTTGTATGTTATCTCTGGGGTGGATGAAATGTGCAATACGTCGATAGCATTGCGTGACACTCTCGTCTATATTATCTCTGAAATAGTGAAATGCTCCATAGCGCGATGGTATGGCATTGCGCTGAGTTTAATAATATCTATGATAGTTATGAAGTACACAATAACGCGATAGTATTGCGCAATGCTCCCTGAAGTAGTATCTGTGTTGCACATAATATGTGCAGTAACGCTAAATTATTGCGAAAGTCTTTCTTCAGTATTTTGTTCGGTGCACGTGATATGTGCGCAAAAGGGATGGTATTGCGTACTGTTACTTAAGTAATTTATGCGACGAGCATAAAATGTGCACTAAAGATATAGTTCGCGACGCCATCTTGTTAAGTTTTAAAGACGCTATCATATTGCTGGGAAATTGATTCGCTATTATCGCAAAACTTGTAAGTGTGAAATGGTGGAAAGGGCAATTAATTAAATTAGTTTTTTTGCGGTGTTCAAGGCTGCGATGATCACATAATAATAATTGTCACTTTATTGGGCAAGATTTGGGTACGTTGCTAAAATAATTTTTAATTAACAATTCCTTCAACGCTATTAAATGGCGTTCGATTGTCGCAAATGCAATGAAACGAAAATTGGCCGTAGTATTTGTACCGTTATCGGTCTGATTATGATGCTTTGTTGGCAAAATAAGTAAGGTTCGATAGGTTCACAGCAGCAAACGAATTGTGATGAAGACTCGAACTACCGAGGAGTTTCGAGGTTTTCCTCAATTGATCTTTCAATCAAACGAAGATAGAGGCAATTTCCTTTTAATTAAAGTTGTCAATCAAAACTCAAAATTAACAGAGAGCTCGATCATTAATTTCTGATTATTAAAACCCCACAACCAAACCGTGCCTTAGGAGTTCACTTCCCTCTTTTGAATAATTAAAATATTTTACTCAAAGTAAAAACTTTTAGAAGTAAAAATTCCACAAAATTACACCACAGCTTGTACCCTAAAAATTATAGTTTTCCTCAAAAATACCAGCCACCTTGGATTTTTCTTTATTTGTGCAAAGCCCCATCGCTCACTGCTCAGAAGAGAGGTGAAGAGATGGGAAGACATGAAAAGAGAAAAAAATAGAGAAGAGGAAAATAAAATAAGAGAAGAAGAGTAGATAAGAGAAGCCCCATCGCCTACTGCTCAGAAGAGAGGAGAAGAGATGGGAAGACATGAAAAGAGAAGAGAAATAGAGAAGAGGAAAAGAAAATAAGAGATGAAGAGACGAGAAGCGGAGAAGAGAAGCCTCATCGCTCACTGCACAGAAGAGAAGAAGAGAAAAGAAGCCTCATCGCTCATTGCAGAAAAGAGAGGTGGCCGTCCGAAGGCAAGGTGCCTAAACAAAAGAACTCCATTTAGATATGATTACCCTTCCGACCTCAGCTTCTTTGTTCTCTTCCTGGGCCTTCCATCATCTCGCTCCTCAATGGGCAAAGTTACAGTGAATCCCTGCAGCAGCAAAGCCAGCAGGCTCATAAGTGCACCTCGTACCTTACTTCTAAAGCCGAGACTCCAAAGAAATAGGTCGAGAAAATTTATCGGAACTGAAGACGCCCGGACTAGATACTCATCATTGTTTTGTGTTCAAGCGGAATGTATTGATGTACAATCAGCTTCAAAATGGATTTTAAAGAGCGAATTCGTACCTACAACGAAATATGATTCTAAGGAGCAGTTTTAGATTTTATAAATGAAGTAAATTGATTCAAGTTAATGTTGAAAATGTTGCAAATCGACTTTTTGTTCGTTGAAATTAAGTCTTAAATAGTAAATTTTTAATTTCATGTATAAATGTACAGACGCATATCGGGTGATTTCGTAACTTTTGTGGCAATAATGATACTGTTTGTATCCAAAATAGTAATTTTATTATATACTAAAAATAATCATTTTTGGTAAATGTGCAACACCTTAGTGCGTAAAATGTTGGTTTATAGTATTCATAACATTGTGCTTTCATCTTCATTCTCATGTCAGCATGTCAGTGGTTATATATCAGAATTAACGAATTAACAGGGACTATATACATTAATGCAATATTCAAAAGTAATATACAATATACATCATTTCACAATCCACGCACTAGCACATTTGATACGAACTGATGCACAAAATCGTCCTGGAGATCCGGCTTGTTGATTTCGTGGCCACAGCAAGTTTTTTTTCTATCCAAAGAAACGAGAGGAGGCCCATGCTTTGCTACCTCCTTATCGTCACTCCCGCGATGACAGTTCACGTTAATACACAAAAACTTTCGACATGAGATAATTGGATTGCTATTGGGATCAAGAATTTTCTACAATATGAACGATGCCAGCATAATTTTTTCACAGAACTCTTATAACGTAAATTTTTAGCGCATTTCCTCTTTTATCGGAAAAAGCGCTATTTTGCTCGCCATGTCCGTCCGTCCGTATGTCTGTCCGTCTGTCTGTCCGTGAATTCACGTTTTCGTCAACGAGAAAATGCGCTTTCTGGCACTCACTGCAGTGAGTACTGAGTAATATTTTTTGCTATTTGAGAGTTAAGATCCACTTACTGCATGTGTTGCCTCTATTCAGTTCTGTGTGATATTCAAGACATTAACATAATGTTCAAATGTTCAGGTATTTAATAATTTACTAAACTAATATTTCGAACAGTGTGAATATTAGTCTCTCGAACAAAAATATTCCTTGTGTAGTTTAAATGGAATCATTGCGTTACATCGCACAGCTGTACATGTATACGTCCGATGTTCGGCCTGCTAAGACGAAAACGGAGATTAGATGAAATATCTCAATCATAATTCATCATAAATGTAAATTTCACCTGCCTTAAATGATTGAATATTTGAACTTCAAACCTAGGCCATTTCTGCAAAAATGCAAAACACGTTTGCTGTGCAATGCCATCCGACAGATGTGTCAGTGAAGTTACAAATAACATTTTTCATAATTTTATATTCTCATACATTCGTATTATAAAATATTTAGAATTTTTATTTGAAAATGTGAGGCTCATTCATGCATGATATCATTCACGAACTCAGAACGTGTAATTGAGGCTTAGCAGCCGACTAAATATTCCGATTTTTTCCCTAACATCCGTCCGAGCGCAACGCTATTTTAGCTTCGTTAGCTCACCGTTCACTGCTCGGAAATAACAAACCCTTCGTCCGCGCAATATTTATTAGAAGCCTGTAAACCTTCCGGCTGCTAATGTGACGCTCCTCAAGCACTTCACGTAGAAGAGTAACGAACGAGCGTTAAATTTAGCGTGGAGAAGTTACCTGGCCGCGTTCAGGCGAGACGCCAACTCGTTGTGCTACACACGTGTGACGTTCAGCTGAACGCTCGTATTTATTCACTTATTTCCGCTGACACGTCCAGTGAATTACGACCGCAACGCAGGGTCTAGTGGCTGATCGCTTAGCTTAATGAAATTGGATATAAACTTTATTTGAACCTATTAAACCCTTAAATAAAACACCCGTAAGTAATATTTTTATGATCGGAGTCTTATTTTATTCCTACATAACTTTGTAACATGATATGCGCAGCATTACCTAAATTTATCCGTAGAAATTAGTCCCGAGAAATAAATTTTGCAATTTTATCAATTTGGTATATATATCAGTGAACCATAAATATTCATTGCCACAGAACGCGGAATAAAAAGGAATCTTTAAACAAATTTATGGATAATTTGCTTGCTCCTCGGATTATATTGTGACCGTAAATGTCTACTTGGTCATTTTAGGTTACGTAACCTGACAGTAGTCTTGTTTTGAATGAATGCATTTGGATTCAAAATATCTTGACATAATTGAAAAAGCCCAACCAGCTAGTGTACCAACATGGGCAGAATGAGAACTGCATTGAAACGACAAGCATTTTCTACAGCTTTTGTGCTGGTCGTAAAGTGAGCTATTATATAGGCTATTATATTAAGTAATGACTTAATTCTTTCATGTCTACAGAGTCTGGTGTGTCAAAACATGCTATTAAATTGCATCCAAAATTTGCAGACGCTGAGCAAGCGCGACGCTGAGCAGGAGCAAGCTGCTCTAGCGTGGCTTTATGCCGTGTCTGGAGAAGTTCCTCCTAAGGGAGACGTGCCATATGAATATCAGCTCAGGGACGGCATACTGCTATGCAAGGCCATCAACAAACTCCTGCCAGGATCAGTGACGAGCATCAGCACATCCGACAGCCACTTCAAGATGATGGAGAATATCAACAAGTGAGCTATTCTTTATGACGCAATTCTTGGAAAACGCGATTCGGTATCATGAAAAATTTGTAGGAGGTTACTCTATCCTTCATATGCATTATAGTCGAAATAAATTGGATGAATAAGAACCGTTCGACCGTTCCAATGAACATAAAGACCTCCGTTCCAATAAACAGATATTAAAAAATTTGTTTGTTGTTATAATAGAACATCGAAGGAAATTACTTTAAAACTGCAAGCACAATTCATAAATGTCAACGATTATGATATTATTCTATTTTGTTATGTTAATGAGCAAGCCTCTAAGATATGAGCTTCTACTCTCAACTGACATTGCAAATAATGCTTAACTATCACAAAAAGAATTTCAACAGTTTGTTAAGTGCTAATTTGTTCACAAGACATTGTTGTTCATTATTGCAGTCGTGCCCTCGTGCGAAGAGAAAATGCGACAATGCTAACAACTCCACGGAGTTTAAGTCTGATATTTGATTTACCTATCAATTGGCAATTTAGGTGCTCACAACACTTTTGAACAGCTGCCCTCAGGTTAACTGTGCAATGTCCCAATAATGTCCTATGTAATAACGTGAATAACTTTACTGTCTTTATTACTAAACACAGACTTTCAATTGATTTCAACATAAAACCAAACATTACATTCGGTATCATCATTTCGGTACTTTACGTAGTACACACGATCTATTGAACGAACGTAACCACCATTAGATAATAATAATAATAATAAAAATAATAATAATAACAATAATAATAATAACAATAATAATAAGAATAATAATAATGATAATAATTTCTACTTCGAGGTTCACGGCGGCGTGCAATAAGTACGGCGTGCCAGACGTTGACCTCTTCCAGACCGTGGATTTGTTTGAGTTCAAGGACATCGCCTCTGTCACGGGGACAATCTTCGCGCTCGGCCGAACTGTGAGTCTATATATTGGACTGTCAATTTCCATGTGTACGTCAGATCTGTATTAATTACGTGATATTATGTGTATCGGGTCATAGAAATATCAATTAAAAATTAGAATATTGTTCAGTTTCGGTTTTTAGGTATGGTTAGTTTGAGAAAAGGTATTCTCTTGATATTTCTGAGGATGGTTAGACGAGGTGCCAAAAACTTAACATTGATGTCGCTATCTCAAGGTTGATCGTTAACAATTAAAATGAAATACAGACTACACTTCTAATAACTGAGGAACTGTAACTGCTTCCTGTGCTTATTTACTGGATTATTCAGGATATATTTCTCAATGTCAAATTTTGTTATTACCGTGAAAATGATTGCTTGTGAAAAGTTTAATGTTAAATCAAGCTTCACGCTGCTAAATTATTTAATGGTGTTCATCGCATACATATTCGATTAAGAAAACCATCTTAAAAGAAATTTAGTACTCGCAGTAAAGGCTTATGGATGCAATAACCCAATGTAAAATAAAACCTTTATGTTTATGTTTACCCCTTTATTAAATTATATTAAATTTAAAGTTAAAGATAAGTTTAAAACAAATTCATGTTTTAATCCTCAATGGAAAATAATATTGAATGTGTCCTCCACTAACATAACCGTATCCTCGTTGTAGACATACAAGCACCCGGAATATACCGGACCTACTCTTGGGCCACGTCCGTCTGAAGCGCAGGCCCGGGAGTGGACCGAAGAGCAGTTGCGGGCCGGTCAGGGCGTTATCGGGCTGCAGGCTGGCTCAAACAAGGGGGCCTCACAGGCGGGCTCGAACTACGGGGCTACAAGGAAGGTCCTGCTTAATAAATAGAAGAAAGTCCGACTCGAAATGTAGGAAAGCCTTAATCGAAAAGTAGGAAAATTCTACTTGTAAAGTATGAAAGAGCATCTTGAGAAGTAAGTAAGTCCTACATGGAAAAGAGGAAAGTCCTACACGAAAACTAGGAAATTCTTACTCGAAAAGTAGGAAATTTCTGCTTGGAAAGTAGGAGAGAGATGAAGCAGTGGAAGAAAAGCATACAACAAATCTTTGCACTAAAATATCTTCTTAGAAATGACTATTGATTGTAATTAAATTCCTAAGTCTAAACTGAAAATGGAACGTAATGTCTATGCATAACGTAGGCTAAAATACTTTGTAAAGACATTGTTTGATTGTTGAACATTTTTTTAGAATGAAAGCTCAATTCATCCTAATTTTTGGTCTGAAATCAAGGCGCTGTGAAACCAAATGCATTTTCAATTTTTTTGTAATACCAGCAAAATCTTCCCAGAATACCAACAAATCCTCTGTAAGAAACAATTGAAGTCAAGTCTCTGCTTAAAAGAATGAGAACTATTCCTTAGTTAACCGAATCTTCAATAATATCAGGTTTCCACATATAATTTTTGCATTCTCTTGGCCGCTTGATATTTTCAAAATAGTTCTGAAAATATTCTCAAAATATTATTTATAGCTATGCGAAATTACATTTGTTTTGTAATAAAAATTTGAATGAAAACAATATGTTTAAACTGATTTTTTCTTCATTACATTAAAAGGCTGATTTTATACAGAGGAGACAGTTGTTAAATAATGTAAAATCAGTATTTTCTTCTGATTTGTTAATAACTTTTCATCTCTTACACAAGGTCATTGATGAGAAGCAACCGTCGAGAAGCTTGCTTTGAACAGTTCATTCGATGCTTATTAACTCTGGTATATAAATTTACGTTGTTTGGTATGTTTGTGTTTTTGTGTTAATACAAGATTAACATGGGCGTTTTCAACGTTAAACCTCACCAGGATGACAATTTTCTCTAATCACCACAAATTTGCTTCAAAATCGTCCACTAAAACTTTTCGCCTGATTAATCGTACAGCGTGACTGAGGCAAGTCGCAGCACGCATGATGGCATCTTAAATGCTGCATTGAACCACAGCTGCAAAATTGCTAGAAACCGAAACAAATATACTTCTGTGGAGCTTTAAAAATATTACCTCACAAGATGATGCACCTAATTTCGTCTTCGAAGCATGGAATTCGGCCCAAACCTCTGGTCTGCAACAATTAACAATTACCAAAAAAGTCGTCATAGGCTAAAATTCCTTTTGGAAACAGAATCGAAATGCTTACCAAAATAACAATTTTCATGTTTGGCTTCCATCACCATTGACTTCGTTTTTCGAGTAAAGAGTTCGCCTATACAATTATTTCACTTCTCAATCCTACCGACCTTTTCAAACTAGACATTAAAAAGCGACGAAACAACTCGGACACCAACCAACGTTCAACATTGTGCACCTTTCCTCCTCCCCCCCCATAAAAAACGTAGCAATCCTCAAAAAATCCTCTTGGCCGTCGCAAGTCTCATGCAAATTCGTGCACCTTCTTCACAAACCCAATTACAAAGTTAGAAATTTCAATTTATCTAAGCGCCGCGAAATCTTGAGGTGTTTAATTCTCTATCCCTTTATTGAGTGCCTTCAGACTTCTGTGGGATTTGCATAAGAAATAAGCAACCGCCCCATCCAGCTCTTGATAGCAACTATAATGACTTATAATTGAATGGACTTGAGCTTACATGTACCTGATAAACTCCACATTCTTTGATACAAGGAAGAATCGAACTTTCATAACAGTTTAGTTTCCCATTTTGGAATAAAAATTATCATTTTACACGGGAAAAAAGAGACGTATTTTTGTTTGTATTGGTTTCATGGTTCAAAACTTCATTCTTAATATTTTTTCTTGGCCTATATGTTATGGCCTATATATATATATATTTTTTAGTTATGGCCGGTATATAAACTATATTCGTATCATTCATGTCACCACAACTCCCCAAGGAAATCAATGGTCCATTTTTAATAACAACAATTACAGAAATTGCTGACTTCCTCGAGATCCTTTACACGCTTGGAACTTTTTAGCGAAAACTTGGAGCTTTCAAAAATTCTTCGGTGATTTCAATATTTGTAAAACTAAGTTTTTCATTTCATAATTCATTCGAATGAGCAACAGGTTATTCATCTCCTATGCTGCAAATGAATGGAGGAATTGATGAAAACAACGAAAAAAAATCCATTGGAAGTAAACAGTCTTTTAGAACGACCAGCAATCGTTGTCTAGCTTCGGTCGGTGTCATTGTAAGCTGTTGACGAAAGTCTGTGTCTAATCCTCAGCCTGCGCCAAAACACGCTCTGAAGAAATACTTCCGCTAGGCTAGAAGTTCCTCGAAAACAAATCGGTTTGCGGTACGACTTCGGAGACTCGCTTGTTCGACTTCCAAACAACTTAGATGGAAATATCTCAAGTCCAGTTATGAGTCTGCGACTCGCTTTCCAGACTAGTGTTTTTTGTCTGTTATCCTGAAAAGCACGACATTGCGCAACGGTGGAAATCTATTTGTTTTTCTGGAATTTCTTGAAGAATGGCCAATATAAGCTGAGCGTGTTGTTTTTTATCGATGTCAAAAAGCAAGTTGCGAGATTCTATTAGATTGGACAAAAGCCAACTGAAAATTCTGTGGATTTCGAATATTAAAATCCACATTTTGTTGAGAGAATTTAAACATGCATTTCACCAGATTGCAAGTCATTACGGAAATTAGAAGGATAACATTATTTGAGATGACTGAAATGCTAGTTGAAATTACGAAATATTAGCGAAGATTTTGTATTTAGTCATAATTAAAAAGAGCTAATGCAATAAATTTTATTAAAAAAGAATGAAACTATCAATCATTTTTTAACTCTATCAGTATTTGATGAGTAAGGCTGTCCGAATTAAATCAAATAGAGAAAACAAATAGATTCTGCAATTTGTTGACCATAGATTATAACGTTACAAATATAGTAATACATATTGCTTCAAATTTATATCCGGAACCCATTTCCATCAGAAGCACCGGATCGTGCGGATGCTTAAACTCAAGACAAAGAAGTCTGTATAGGCAGAAACCTCGCACTTGTGCCTGCATGGCTCGTCCAGTGATTTAAGACCTTAACGCGTGAAGGCCAATGATGTAAGGTGGTGAGGCAGAAGCGAGTCGCAGCGGGAGCTCAACAAGTAATATCGGAAAGTCGTTTTGACGGTCATGTTTATGGATTACCTATAGAGCGTCGCCAAGTCCTTTCCCGAGGCTTGGAACATAAGCGAAAGTGCCTCGGACCTCCTGCCCTGCAAAGACTATTAACGGCACACTTACTCCTCATCTTATGCAGATTACGGCGACCGCCATGTAACCTGGGGAAAATAATTACGTCTATTCAAGGTCCGGTGAACGCTAATGTGGAGAAATTAAGCGTAATGGAGATTAATATTCAGATTTTGTGCCATTGAGGTATCAGGCTGGTCATTTAGTCGGGTTACTCTACATTGATTCAATGCTACGTAAACACAAATTTGGAATTTTTCTTGTACCCGTATCAAAATTTTACAAAAATTACTTATTTGATGCTTAAGCAGCAAGCACTAGAACTTGAATCTTAATTATGAATTCAATTGAAATTCAAAAGATATTGAAAACTATTTCTGATGATAACATCATGTCTTGATTAAACGAAACTATTCATAAACTATTATTATTATTATTTGAAGGGAACTGCGTAGTTCCAGAATTTCGCAGTCGCCCTGAGAGCCCAGAAAGCAGCGTATCGCAGCCACGCTCACGAGCTCTAATCTCTCCTCATTCCAGCAACGATAACAAGTGGATTCACTCACAGAGAAAACGCTAATTCGTCTCTAAGATTTGCGCAGCTTCTCCTCGGATGGGTGGCAGTTGCAGATGCTGCTGCTCGGCACATTATGCGCAACCGTGCATCTCTGCCAGCCCCTTCCTTTGTGGGAGCATGACTGAAATAAGGTCTCGACAAACATGTCTAATTGAACTTGGGACTCCCAGGCGCCTCTGCTAATCTTGGCGCTGCAAAGAGTTGATGCCTCGTGGATTTGAAGGATGAAGACGACGCCCAGGCATCTAAGAGCTGCCTAGCAAATGCGTTGCAAACGACACTCAGTATATCAACGATATTTATAAACCAATCTGTCGACAGGATTTATTTGAATTTCTTATAGTAAATAAATAAGGAATTCTAGTAAAATGGACGTAAGATACTTTGTTTACTCAAAGGAATATTCGCCAAGAAAGCATGACAGTTATGTTCTGCTTACTTAAGTCTATAGAAGGAGTTCGTTTTTTTCCCTCTTACAGGCTAACCCGGCGTCTTATGGGATAGACAATCCTTGCGAATTTCCAATATCCTCATTCCGAAAACGGTAATTTCGAACCCTGAAAATATTCTGAAACTGTAACGCTTTGCTGAAAAAAGACCCTCTTCAACTCACATTTGACATGGAATTACGAATTAACTCCGGGTTAGAAATTCTAGGAAAACTCTAATTTTACAATTTAGTCTTTTTAGCGCATTTTCTCATCTATGGAAAAAAATGCACTATTGTGCTCGCCATGTCCGTCTGTCCGTCCGTCTGTCCGTCCGTCTGTCCGTCCGTCCGTGATCTCAAGTTTTCGTCGACGAGAAAATGCGCTCTCTGTCACTCACTGCAGTGAGTACTGAGTTATATTTTTTTTCATTTGATAAACTTTGAATTTGCAAAATAAAACATTGATTTAATTTATTTCTTTAAATTCACTTTATTTCTCCAAGTTTTACAATGCCGCGCGACTTTAACATTCGTAAATAAAATTTCAGGCTCGGGTAATTTCCCGCCCGTCACGGCAGGTGTTAAGGACAACAATCTGACAGGGACAGGTGTTACGCGCTAGAACAACCCAAATATGTAACACTCGTATTTATGTTTGGTGAAGGCGTGAAACAAATAAGCGAAGTTTCAGTGACAGCGATTAAATTAATGTAATTTTTTCTCCTCATAAAGAATTAGATTGTAGTAATGTCACTATAATGTCACTAGATTGCTTAAATCGAAAATTTACTTTAAATTTAGAAGCGAAGAAAACTCCAACTTATTGACCATATCTACATTGAAAACGTTTTCAATATACGTAGATATGGTGAATTTGTGTGTAGTTTTCTCCGCTTATAATTTTTTAAATAATTAGATTGATGTTGAATGGATGCTCATTCATTATAAAAAAGAATAATGGTTTCATGGAAAGACACGGGCAGATTTGATTTTGTAATCAAACTAATAGTTTATTTTTCGACATGACCTGTAAGTAGATAGATAATTAGCGCATGTCGAAGCCAATGATAGATAATTAAACATCGGCTTCGAATATTTTCTTTTCAATTTATTTTATTTTGAAAATAACCGACAATTTTCTCAGTCAACCAGAAATATGGAGAATGAGACATGATTATGTTCGAATGATTTTTTGACATGCATTTTCACGTTGTTTACACATTGTGTCCCCAACGATTGGCGAAACCATCGCATGGACGAATTTTATCCTAGGCTTCCTACATCGCCAAACAATCGAGCTATAATTTTAATAATCATTATCACCTAAATTATACATTTCGGTTCCACACAGTCAACTGCAGGAGAAAATAGTGAGGGCCAGGTTGATCAGGTGTTCGAGCGTCCGCGCGTGCTGCAGTGACCGACACAAGTGTGCCGCTGCTCAGTGGCAGTGAACCGCCGGTCGGAGACGTGTTACCAACTGCAGTGATCAGACGTAATTTATCTTCTTGTGTTGAGTGTGTTAATGAACTCATTGTCGCTGGATAAAAGCAGCAAGTGGAACAGCAGGTACTCCGAAAATAAGGGAGATTTTATCCTGAAACTGTGATATAAGCGCAGTTGATGCAGGACCAGTGTTCATAAAACACACCGAGCTGACGGAAATATATCGAAGGTCCGTAATTCTGCAAGCAAAACTTTTGTCATTGTTATTCAAATAAATCTCTTTACTTGCGTCCACGAAGCTCAAAATCAATTGGATCGAAATGTGAGCTTGTAGGAAGTAATTTGCGTCACATTACTTCATGAACCGTGATGCAAGAAAAGTAGTTGAGAAAAACTAATTTTGAATCCAGTGTTATGGATTCTATTCTGTCGGAGATACCCATTCTAGTTGCTAACTTCAGATGATATTCTAAACGGTTTGATGATATTTGTTTATGTATTAGAGACGCCAGGTTCGTGCGAAAGAGAAAAAAAGTAGTGATCAGCAGAATTATTCCGACAAGAACATTTGTTTGTTGATGACTGAATGTGCAGAAAATTTATTTTATCAATAACATAATGCCTCCATCACGAAGTACCGTAATAGTCACAGAAAAGTGTTCAAAATAAACTTAGTTAAAAAATACAACGATTAGTGCGATGATATAGACGCAATGGATTTTATTTACGTCGATATTCGCCATAATTCCATATGATAACTAATTGTTCCGGGTAATATTCGTTACATGACTGTAATCGAAAAGTCGTTTCATTACATCTGTGTATAAAAGTATGATGATCGGCAGTCACTCTGCTAAGCACACTTTTGCAACTTTCAAAAAGAAGACCACGCATATTCAACGACAACTGGGCCGCCACTCCTACATGGTTACCCGCACCATCAACTTGGTGAGTTGATTACGTCATAGAAACTCTTTTTATATAAGAGATATTTCTAAGTTTAATTTTGAATGTCAAAGATGATTGAATATTTGATGAACATAGGAATTTTAATTTACAATGCAGCTCCAACGACCTCCTTTGATTGAGTCGCAAAAACGAAACGAGGGGTTACTGTCCATTTATGTTCAATTTCTATGGCATATCACATTCTTTTCGCCTTTATACGTATTACTGTAGTTTTTATTAACTTTTAGTTGGTACGTTAGTATTGAACGAATTTCAGAAGCGCTATAGCGAAAATTTCTTAGATAGTTGCTCATTACGCAATTCTTTGCGTCATATAGCGGGAATGTCTAAGGTGGGCCGTTTACCTGATTGTTAGCAGCTGATTGGTGTTGACAATTGAACTCGATGTGCATATGCTGTGCATGATGTGCTGAAATAAGATATTTCAAAGCTTCAGAGAAATTGAGAATGGGTATACAGGCATTTAACAGTATCCTTTTGATTGCATGCAAGAGCATGGCATGTCGGCCGCTGACTCATTATGCGCCTGCGGTTCATGATAATATCGGCGACTGTCAACCACAAGTCCAACTCTCGTACCTCGCCCTCGGTCATTCACCCACTCCCACTGTCTGACTCAGACTGCCTGTCTGTGACGTTCGAATATCTATATGTGGAAACTGGAAAGGAGAGGCATCCAATGGGCCAATCCATAGTGTCAAACTCAAAGCAGAGCCCAGAGCCTTTTTAGACTCTTCCTCAAGTTCACTTCTGAGTCCTCTAAGTAGCCTAGCCATAGTGGCAAAGCAGAACGTTAGCAGAGAGTTTTTCAGACTCTCCTTCTAGTTAAATTTTGATTCCTATAAGTAGACCAGCTAAGTATCATGGATACCACTCATACCAGCATCATCATTATGACATCATATGGTAGGCCAGGCTGGAATTCTAAGAATGGAAGTTCACTTATAAAAAAGCTTTCCACCCAAGCTGAAAAGCTTTCCTTTGATACAGTGCTCTGCCATGTTACTGACTATAAATGTAAAGATAGATCATAAGTGGACAAACTGTTTCAATTGTATAGTACATCAGGTTTGTTATAGATCACAGCTGGAAAGCATCCCCATCAACCAATCACAGCTTGAAAGCATCCCCAGCATAAGAAACAGCTGTGGCATCTTGCAGAGACTCATCAGTGATGATGATGGAGTGAAAGTGGAAGTGTGCTGGACGTTCCAGATTTTTGGGTCCTGCTTTCCAATTTGCTATGTTTACCAGTTAATATATTACCCCTCTGGATTTCCACACTGGCTGGACGTTCCAGATTTTTGGGTCCTGCTTTCCAATTTGCTATGTTTACCAGTTAATATATTACCCCTCTGGATTTCCACACTGCTGTAGAGTATGGCCTTTTAGCTCGAGATATTGGCATCTTTTGAAAATTTTTATCAGCCACCTCGACCTTACATTGGCGTCTTTTGAGGATCTTCATCAGCCATCTCGACCTTACATCGGCGTCCCGTCGCGGTCGCCGCAATCTGAAAGGTGCGGCGTGAGCACCGGAGGCCCATTTTGGGATGTACTCCAGCCAGGGTGGAATTCTAGAAATGGAGGTTCACTTATTAAAAAGCTTTCCACCCAAGGTGGAATGCTTTCCTTAGATACAGTGCTCTGCCAGGTGACTGACTATAAATGAAGAGGAGGATCAAAAGTGGACAAACTGTTTCAGTTGTATAGTACCTCAGATTTGTTATAAAATTGTTTGAATGTCTCTTGTTTGATAGATATTCTCTATTTTTCTTTTATTTTATGGATTTTTTGAAATTTTTTCAGGCTTTATGTTTGTAATGATCAACTTTAAGTTGTTAAGTATTTAGTTAACCAGTACTGTAGTACATATACCATATTTGGGGGAGGGGCTTATGGTCACAACCAATCACAGCTGGAAAGCATCCCCATCAACCAAAAACAGCTTGAAAGCATCCCCAGCAACCAATCACAGCTAGAAAGCAGGGGCCATACTTTCAAAACTCGCTGAGTGAACGTAAGTGCTTACGCTCTATTTTCTTGTCTATGATTGGTGGATTTGGCTTGAAAGGCCGTCAATGATTGGCTGATGAACTTACGATCTCTTAACTTTTTTTGAAAGTATGGCCCCAGATAACATTACAACTCCATTAACCAATCACAGCTGGAAAGCTGGAAGGGGGCTAAAATCACAATCCCATAAACCAATCACAGTTGAAAAGTGATAGGATATGCATAATGTATATAATAAAATGGACTGGAAGTGGAAAGTTCCTGGACTTTCCACTTTCAGGTCCTGCTTTCCAATATGCTATGTGTACTGGTTAATTTAATATCCCTCTAGAATTCCACACTGATCTCCAGCATGCCAGGAAAAAAAGTTGCCAGAATGTTTGCTAGAAAAACCAAAGTGCATATCTGACCGTTGTCTGATGATCGATACTGAGGCACGTGCTGTACGACTGATTCGGCGAATGCCCGACAGTGATGCACGCACTTGCGCGATCGACGCAGCTGTTGCTCAATGATTGACATTGATGCCCAAACTTTATGATCAATGATCGACACGGATGCACGCATTTTACGAGCGATATGGCCGACGCTCACTTTACGAATGATGCGGTATGATTGACATGGATTCACGCATTTTACGATCGATGTGGCCGATGCCAACTGATCGATTCCAACACTGAGAGAAAAAGGCCCCCCGTTTTGAAATAATTGGGCGTTTCAAAACCTCTCGAGCTTGACGCGCTTATATGTGTGCGGCAAGCGTTGCGTGGTCAGTGCGCCGAATGCTGTCGTAGGAGGTGGTTGTGTGGAGCCGCCGCTCATGAATGCCACGAATCTATACTGCTTACGGTTGATTGGCCCAACTCAATTCGGTTAATTGTTTCAACTCACTGCTGTTCTTTTGTCAATAGTAATGTTAAAGAGCAACGTCTATACCATTCAATCGCACAAGAAGTTGATCATAAAATCGAAGATTTATTCTGGTAGTACCGCGCGCAAGACAAAACAAACACGGCAGCTCTATGTAGTTGCCGTCTCCGTAGCTGAGTGGACTAAGGCGCCTGCTCGCGAGCGTTTGGTTGCAGTCTTGGCAGAGGTTCAAATCTCGGCGGGCGACTTATAGTTTCTTCAACCAGAGTTCGATAGAGGTAAGAACAAAGAGTGTACTTTCATGATGATTGTACATACCGATATAAATTGTGTAATAAATATGTCTATAAAAGAATGAATATGTGACTAATTTCGCAGTGAAGGAGAAAAGCGTTGAAATCAGATAGAGACGGAGAAATATAGTTTTCATAATTTTGGTATGGAGGCGGCCATGGATTAAACTGGGATCGACCAGAGGAGTAGAATATGTTAAAATAATTTCATCAGGCGCTGGAAGCTGGACAAGGATTTTGCATAAATTCTGAAAAGAAGGTTTCATTCTCCGTAGACTTCTTTCGGTGTTCTAACGTTGAAACACCTAGGTGTTTCAAAATCGCAAATTTTGAAACACCTGAACGTTTTTGAAACACACGGGTGTTTCGCTTTGGGC